GAAATTCAGTATGCCAGTGTCATATTCGGGCTTTTATTGGCTACAAACTGCGTTTTAGTAACCCGACCTGGCTGGAGCATGTGTCCTTATTCCCGCTCGGTCCCCGATCGACGCCCAGTGTCCTGTGCCCCTTAACCTCGTTTGCTGTCTTCGCACTCGTTGACTCTTCCCATTCCTTGTGTCCTGCTCATTGTCAGTATTCACTTATAAAATGACAGCCACGCGTCTGCGTCACTCGCACGACTGCTTGTCCAATCACCTCGAATGTACATCCACCCCCTTTTTATGTTTAGCCCACCTTTTTTTCTATCGTGCCCTGTTGACCTTACTATTGATTTCTATAAAACCACAAAGAATATCCCAGATATTTCTACTGTTTTCTGACACCGCTTTTGACTTCGGGTGCGGCTATTGCGGTGAAAAAACTAGCACTGAATCACAAAAAGCTAAAAATATATTAACATATTCACCTTCTCGCCGTAAATAACTGTATTTTCGGGAATGGGTCCGGGTGCCGTGACACTGCACATGGCGCCAATGATGCAGCCATTGGAAATGCGGACCTGCGGACCCACAAAGCATTTGGACTCGAAGACGTTACTGTCTCCAACTTCACGACTGTGACATCGGGCGCCCACCTAAGGAGCAAATAATAGGCAAGGGTGGGGAAGGGTCTTCACTTCCATCGAATTGATAAGGACGAGAAAGAGCGGGCAAAATAAATAGGAACACGGAAGATCAGATAAGGATGATGATGAAGAGGAGGTGGAGGAGGAGGATAAGAAGAAGACGCGAAAGACAATGAACAGGAGATTGGCAGTGTTTCTGCTGGCGTGACCTACCTCGAAGACGTTAAAGTCGCCCACAATCATTACCGAGTTGGGCACATTGTTGATGATCTCCACTCGTTCCTCAATTAAATTTGACTCGCCGATTTTTATGGGACCGCATTCAGCAATTATGCGTGCCTTGGGGTGAATGACGGTGCGAGTGCCAATACTGATGTCGCCTTGCAACTCACTCTCACTGCAGACCACAGCACCTGGAGCGATTTTCACGTCTTTTCGGGACATGCGGCGGGGTGAACCTACCAACAAATAAAATAAGGATGAACCAGTAGTTGAGTGAAAACCCTACAAAAAATGACCTCCTTTGAGCTCAAGCAAAAATCACAAATTCTGTCAGGATATCCTCTAAAGAAAAATATACACATGAGCGTGGACAGTTAGATTCACGGTAAGATTTAATCCCCCCAACAACCGCATTTCGCAAGACGCGTAGGATAGTGCTTTGGAATATCGGACCCCGGATCTTCA